TTATAAATTAAATATATTTATTTGTATTGAATGTCTTACATAAAGGAATAGTGGAAAACCTGCTAAATCATGCATGTCTCTTTTGGCTGTTATATTTCAGCATTTTAAATGTACTTGGCTCTTTCTATAAAGAACAAATTAGTCTGATTTGCTCTGGCTCACTGAGCATGAAGTGTTCAGGTAACAGCTCACCATCTTGTGGATACACGCAAAATACTGCTTTGGTTGCTTGAGGAAAGTGATGATTTTTCTAAGTTACAGCTTGCATAGAAATTCAATGTTATTTGGCTACTTTGGGAGGCAAAGAGCTACATATTAGAGAACAGCTATTGAGAGTGCAATATGACCTCAGAAATTTCCTTGTGCTACAGAAACAAAAGCATTCTGTGAAACAACAATCTTACTCTCCTCTCAAGCAGAATCCAAAATTTATCTTTTCCTTGTGGTTCAATTTCTCCAGTATCAGGCTAAGGATAAAAGTTAATCATCTTGCTAGAGTTAATACATTAAGGAAGTTTGGGGGCATACTGAGTGGGAATTGTGGGCAGAATACCAGAGCAAAAAGCATTTATTTGAAAATCCTAGTTAACTGCTGGAGAAGAAACATGAGTAAAAACAGTTCTTTAACTTCTCAAGAAACAGATAGATGGATGTAAGTCTTATACCCCAAATTAAAGAAGATCAACACACATAGCAGCAGCACTACAAATTTTACTTAATTTATTTGTTTGAAACTATGATGCAATCAGGAAGTTGGGTTTATTAATATGCCCTTTTGTATGAATCTGAGAGATTATAAGCAGTTTATGAAGTAATAGTTATACTATTACACATATACTATTACACATACACTAATACACACCTTATAAAAATGCTGCTAGATTCTTGTGTTGTACTAAAAAAGAAAGCTACTTTCAAGAAATTCATCATTTTTGATTGATCACATGACTTCTATCAGAAAAAAATCCAGGTCACATAAAACAATACTTGTTGCTGGGACAGCAAGAGCTGTTTCTAACCAATTTAGATATCTGTAGAAGCGAGTTGTATTTACAGCTCATCAGCACAGAAAATCATTAGGTTGATTAAGGTGTTCCTTAAGGAAGACATACAAAACTCCAACATCCACTGCTATTGAAAAGCAGCTGGGATCAACCAAGAAAATAAACCTTTTCCTTTAATTTGCTGGTGGTTTCTCCCTTTCAGATTACTCATTTATACTTGGCCTGTAATTGAACCTGTCTCTTTAACTGAGCTCCAGACAGGCTGAGAAGTAAAGCTGTGTGTTTGTGGCACAGGTCCAGTGCTGGAGGAACAATAACTTCATGCAAAAGCAGACTTGGTGGATTCACACCAAATTTCTCAATAGTTCTGCAGACTTGTTAAAATTCATGTGCATGTTGTTGAGATACTGAGAAGTCCATATAATACCTAATAGACTTTGGGTAACATCAGTGCTTCTTCAGCTTACAAAATGATAATATGTACAAGCAATGCTATAGGCAGCAATTCTTCCACAATTTGTCAGCACCCTTCTTTCTCACCAAGTTTCCATGTGGTTCTCACTGCAGTGATGTTTTAAACACAGAAAAGAACTACAACTGTCCATCTGAGTTCACCAAGTTCACCTTTGCACTCTCATCAATTCCATGAGTCTTTCTTTCAGCTGCTACTGTATGCCTTGATTTCGTTTCAGAAGTATCTCTGCTATCATCTGCCTGCAGGAAACATTGTTGAGCAGGTTCTGTGGATTGCATCCGATGGGTGAAAGCTGGCACTTCAATAATTTATGCTAGCAGCACATTTTCAGTGAGCAACTTGGCCAGCAGCAGCAGAACATCTTAAGAAAGATCTAGGTAATACAGGAGAAGTCTGAAAACTTGTCAGCACCACACAAAATGCAGAGATATTAACACTGATGCCAGCAGTCAACCCATACTATTATTCGATCTGTATCATATATATTAAATTTAATACTACTTTTCCTGATTTCTATAAAATTGCTTCCAAGTAATTGATTGACTTGTTATTGTCAATTGCATAAGCTGCTAGGCTAGTATTTGAGTTAGAAGATAAATAAACATAAAGAAAAAATTGAGATTGTTGACAGAATTGATCAGTCACAGTGGAAAGTACTGCTTCATCAAGAACACCTCTCCGAGAAGCATCATGAAAATGTAATTTGATCACCTTTCCTGCCTTCCAAATACAGTATCATATGTGCAAACAAGAACTAAAAATCTACTGACTGCTAGACACACAAAAATGAAGCTTCACACTATGGGGTCAGAGTTTTCTTGCTGCTGAACAGCCTCCAGCACAGGAACAATAAATGCAGTGTTGAGAGTGAAGACTGCAAACATACCTGCAAACTAACACTAAAAATTGTAAGACCTTATTTAGAATTTTTTTTTCTCTATTTCTAAGGTAAGGAAGAAAAAATGTTGAGTGTTAGCCAAAACTTAGCTATGCTTAATAGAATACAGTCTCCCAGGGTAAATGTTCATAATCACTTCTAAAGCATGTAAAACTGATATTTCCCTTTGATATGCTGTTCAAAGTGAAAACCCTGTTTCTAAAATTAGAAATTCTAACAGGGAAATAAAGATACTTACAGGGGTATGAAGACAGAAGAAAAGATAGTTGTATGCTGTCTTTGGAATGAATATGATCTGATGGAGTGATAATAGGAGATTGATTATATTTCTTATTTTGGAAGAGCAACTGTACATTCCTACTGTTACAATAGCACCAATTATGTCCACACTTCCTTTCAACAATATTTTTCAAAAGGCTTTATAAAGGATGTTAGAATCATTATCCTAACCTGACTGATAAGAAAATCAAGAAACAGACCACTGAAAAATAACCAACTGAATGTCACCTGGCAGACAAGCAGAAACACAATATTTCAAGTTTCAGTCCCATATTCTTTTGGCCAGATCCTTATGACGTTTTCAAATGCCACTGTCCAAGCAGGGAAGTGCTTACAGAATTTACAAAGACATTGATTGTGCTTTTCTGACAAGCCTGGTCTGTAAGTACCTACTAAATATTACAGCAAGGAGCCATTATTGACTACTAAAACACTCTCCTCTAGCAAAGGCATCCAGTTGTTAATGGCTGGCAGCAGTTCAAAACCCCTGTTTAATACAGTCTATCCTTTTGAAATGCCCTTGCAGTGTTGGTCTTTCCCAGCTGCAACATTTATGATAGGAACAAGCAGGATAGGCAGTGATGTTTTTCTGTTATCTGGTGTAGCCATTCCCCTATGCTTTCACAACACCAGGAATTTCAACACGTACAGCTCCAATACTTCCCCATGGCTGTTACCTCCTTAGCCATTTGGTGACATTACTTCTTTGAAATAAATGATTTTAAGAAAGAAAACCTCAAGTAAAATTTTTTGTTGAGAGAAAAAACCACTCACAAGCTTAATCAGACATGACATTAGTAGCAAAAAAACTTTGGCTTTCTCAGAATTACAACAAACAGGCAGCTGCTGAACCTAAAGATCTGTGTGCCAGGCAGGAACTACAGAATGTAGTATGTTCTTTGCCCTTGCACCACCTCCACTTGCCTCCTCCACTAAAAGCTGTTGGCTGCTCCTCTATCACTCATCTCAGTTATGCCTGCTGCTGCTACAGAAATTTTTATCCATGCCACAGCTGACAGATTCTGGGCTCTTCATTCAACTCAGGTAGGAAAATGAATTATAATCAGTGCAGACAATCTGCCTGGCAGTGTACAGTGCAATATGTGATAGTGCATCATCCAACATTTAATACATAAATGTATCATTGACTGAGTGCAGGCAGGATCTCCACCAAAGAACAATTTCCCTTTTCAGATTTGTACTAGTGGGTCACTTACTTTATTTTTTTTTTAATAGTTCAATGGTATTTTGCTTTAAAAGTTGCAAGAACATTTAAGAGTAACTCAGAAGTTGTTTTATTTTTAGCATAGGAATGAGTCCAACTACTTTGAATTCAACAAACTGAACTTTTAATTGTAATTAGAAATTGTATTTTCAAACATTGATCAGATAAGACAACACTGCTCTGTGTAAATGATACACACACTAACACACACAAATTACTTATAGGATTAGATAATATCCATAAAAGTACATTCAGAAGGATAAACCCTATTTCTTTGTACTGAGCTACACACCCACAGTAGTCCTCAATGCATGATTGCTACAGATAAATTGTTATCATCCTTTCTAGATGCCAACAGAAGCATTGATGTTGTGCCCTACTTGCACTAGTCTGGTTTTGTCTGAACTTCTACAGCATCAATTCATGTTCTACTGGATTGTTTGCTACAGAATCTTTGCATTACCAAAAATGAGAAACCACTTATTTGGAGTTTTTTCTACATATTTGACTTCAAAGTCTCTTTTTATTGCAGCAAATAATAATGTTCAGTGGCTGTCTGGACCAACTTCTCCACAGGAAAAGTAGACTTCATTATTTCTGCTACTGGCATAAAACTCTTTGAGGACATTCTGTGATCTCACACCCAACTCTGAGCAGTCACAACAGAAGAGAATCATGATGACCAAGCTTTCCTTTAAAGAAAAGCCATCTATACAAGAATGAAAAATGTTCATTTATTTTGCTTGAGCACTGGTTTCCTGATTCCTGTTTTTTTTCCCAGTCCATTGAATGTTCAATTCCCACTGTACAGTACACTCAAATACAGGAAGGATATGATCAGTGGGCTTGATTTCAAAGGTGCAGAACTACCACTGAATTAGATCTGACTGAGCTCAAATGACCCTGGGGCACTTGAATGCCTTGGGATGCATTTACAGATCAAACCATTTAAGCACAAAGATATAACTTTAAATGTATAAAAGCATTCTGCATGTCCTTGCTTGTTAAAAGACTCAGAGGTACACATGGTAGTTCTAGAGCTGCTTAAAATGCCAGTAACATTCATTTCAACTCATTTTGTTTTGAAACCAAGAAATTTTGCAGTTATTCATTACTAACCTGGCTGTTAAAGTTGGAGAAATGACAACAGAGGCAAAAATCTTCACCATAGCCATTTTACAAAGATCAGCTGCAGAGCCTACAAAAGAAAGGGATCTGGTTTTAATTTAAAGCATGCAAAAAGAAAATGTTCTTCTTGGAACAATGGCATAGGAACAAAAAATATCAGAAGATTCTGAATTATAAGAATTTTGTAAACTAGCAGACCCAATTAATCTAATATGTGAAACATTTTAAGATTAATAAATAACAGAGGAAGTAATTATATGTTAATTAAAACTAGAAAATAACAATATGATATCATGTGTTAATTAAAGGTGAATTTGTCATTCATGACTATATGTTGAAAAATTGCTTTCTATAAAAAAGGTATGAAATTATCTATCTCTAAGCTTTAATTAAAATTTATCTAATAATCAATTAAAGTTTTATGTCACAAAAGGTCAGAACATTGTTTCAGTGCTGCATTTCAATTTGGAGCCTTTATTTTACACTTTTTCATATTTCCATGTATATGCAAAGTATATTCATTACATTACAGTGTTAAGAGCAGTGGTGCATAAAACAGTGTCATGGCACAGAATAAATGACACATTTCTGGTCATCAAGAAGCAGAATGATTCTCCAGGCCTGTAGTTTGGTGAAGGGCTTTATTCCAAACATTTTACACAAAAGATTTATCTGATAAAATATAAAAACAATCCTTTGAGTAAAGAGTGGAAGCCATAATCCTCCTTAAACATTAAACATCCTAAATGTCATGGTCATTTTTACAACCCTGTAACTCAATGAATTCTGAATTTTTTTCTTCCAAATGATTCAGCTTTCAGAATAGGGGCAGAGAACAGCCAGGTAGCCAAGTGACAAGGGTAGTCTGCTGGAGGTAATCAGAGAATCACAGAAATCTCCAAATCTCCAATCTGAAGGGACACATAGAGATCATCTGTGGATGCCATGGGACAGAGAGAGAGAAACAGCAAGCGTTTCTCACAGGGGCTTGTGAGAAGTTTCAGGGAGCTGGAAAGATGTGATAACTTGTTGACTACAAACAATTTGCAGGTGGTGTCTTTCTACTTTATTTCTCTGTTCCTCTCAAGGACAGTGTGTGAGAAAGATGTTTCTGTTAGTTGGCCAATAGAACAGAATCTATGGTACCACTCTATAAAAACCACACAGTTCTTTTGAATAAAACCTTCTTTGCCTTTGCAAAGATCGATGATTGAGATGGCAATGTCTGACTGTGGATTTAGCCTCAAATACCTGTCCTGTTTTCCTGTTTAAATGATGTGGCAAATTACTCAACACATTACAAAAAGGGACAACTGATATAAAAAGTAAGAAAGGCTGTTTCAGCAAAGGGAAGGTAAATATCTTCTAAGTGATTGCGAGATAAAAATATACTTAGCATTTAATCCATCACAAAAGATATGCTCTAGATACATTCCTTATGAAACATTGTAGAGTAATAAAATTTGAAAGGCTTCTCAAAATATCTTTTTACTGAAATATGATTTTTAGAGATATCCTATTTTAAAAAATAAATAATTTTCCTTTTAAAAAAGAAAATAATTACAAATAAATAATTAAAGATAAACTGTTTGCTCTATGGGAATAGGTACAACTGAATAATAACTGAAGAATATTATGCTGTACATTGGTGAAAACTATTGAACTGGGAAATATTCAAAAAGAGAAAAAACACTATGAAAGAAATGTGAGAAACTGAATTGTAATAATTTAAAGCTGCAATTCTGCATTCCTCTCAATATTGTAATGCATCTGAAATGTTGTACTATCATTTACTGCTACCACAATCAAAATGTAAACTACTTAAATTAATTAGACTATTAGGAAAAACTATAAAACATATTAAATGCAATTTATTACACTAAATGTGATTAAAAGTTTTATAATTTTGAAAGTTTTTATAGACTTCAGATATTATCTTATAGGTGAAATCTTAAAATTGAAACATCATGGTAGTCTAAAATGATTTTTTTTCTAAAATTTGGGAATACTGAATATTTTAGAGTTTTTAATCCTTGCTTCACTACACCTTCTAACATTCCATTTTGAGTAACAATTACATTATTTTTCATCAGATTTGTCCTCCGGTACTGACAACAAAATCTGACAATCTCATTATTGTAGCTACATAGAAGTGAGTGTTCCATAGACAGCCTTGCTCCAGCTCTTGGGATAGATGAACACAGCAAATGCTGCTCAGAGGGCTGTGTGCACTCTTTATCAATGCTACACTGTGTGCACTGCAGGACTCACAGAATGGGAATTAGAATAAGAATTCTAGACCTGTAGGTATCTTTGCAGAGACAGTACTCAAAGACTGACAAACATGACATAAATACTTAAGTCATTTTAAAAATTAAACATTAAAATGAATAATATTTGGAGAGAAAGTGATACTTGCAAAAGGAAAATTCAAATAGCTTTGGAAGGAACATGCCATCACCATGTCTAGAAAGCACTTTTTCCTTGCCTGTAAATTGTACACTTCCAGGGTAACTTAAAGAAAACCCTGTCAGCATCATCCAATGAAAAAAATAATTCTTCTAAGGGACATAAAGGTAGGAAGGATCTCAGTCTTGGGCTGACAGCTCAGGATTTTTTTTCTTTGGGTAGCTAAATTCTGTGCACACCTGAGCTCCAAGTGACCTAACCAGAGTATGTTATTTTATCAAATTAACTAACATGTGAGCACAGAATGCTGACTTTTGCATTTCTAATCTATATGCAAAATGTTTTTCTGTGGAAAAAAAAATACCTTTTTCTTGCCCTCTACAGAATTATGTTTGAAGTTTCTGCAAAGAATGGGCTGGATTTCAAAACAAATAATAACAATGCACAATTATTGTAACATTCTGTATTTCTGAAACTAAAGCTACTTGGCAAAATAAAAGCTGGAATTTGTAAGAAATCACAGAAAGAATCACAGGAAGAATCACAGAATCCTTTCTGGAGTAACAGACTATAAAAAACAGAAAGGAAAGTGTTTAAAGAAACAATGTATCTGAAGAATTGAATTCTAGATATTCTCTCTATACATAGTGTTCATCAATACCTACATTTAACTATCACAGAGCACTTTAGTGTATTAGAATATTTATACTGTTGCTATTATTAATATTATCTGTTATTATTATAATAATAACAACATTATATATTATATAATAACAGAATAATATTATTATATTATTCTGTTTGCTGGCAATTTCCAAGGTAGATAGAATATATAATTTTAACTTCTTTTTCACAGGAAAACTCACATCTAGTCTAGTAGACTACTGCAATATCCACTCTTCTGAGATTATCAGTTGTTGCCCACTAAAGCTAAGCAGGGATAAAGACAGGTGGGTAGAGAGGAAGGTAGAGAGGCAGATCTTTACCTTGAACAACAAAATTTACAGCCTGCCTCTCTGCTTGAGTGCGTAGCTTGTAATCCTGTGCATTGATGTTGGCCAGGGGCCTCTTGCGTCCCATTATGGAAACCACGTAACCTTGCAGGATTTAAACAAAAATTACTTTTATGTGTTACAGAGTGATTAAAATTAAATTTCAAAAATCATTTTTGAAAATAATACAGATATTTGTAATTATGTGCTGCTTGAGTCAATTTAATATTTTGTCCACTGAAAACAGTCAGAGTTTATTTAAACCTTCAACGCTTATTGTATTTTTGTATTAAGTATTATTTAATTCAGAGAATTGGTACATGTTATACAAGGAAAACTTTAGTGCTTTAAGGCTGTTCAATTTTTATTAGGAATGTCTAATGATAAAGCAGCAAACTCTCTCTGTGGGGGATGAAACTATAAATACCTAGCAGAATTAGCTATCTATTAGCAACCATAATTAGAGCTTTCCACACAATGAATAGTTTACTTGGGAATAGTAAAGAAAAATCAATTTGTAGAGTCATTAAATCAGTAATGAATATTTCCCAAAAATATAAAATAGGTTTTTTTGGGGGGAAAAAAGTTATTTTTTTCCCATTTTCTTTATGTAGTATTTCTGTGTTCCTTTCACAGCCAAACTTCCTTAACTCTAGTGTGGTGGGAATTTTTAGTTTAAAATAAACATTAAAACACAGTTAAAGCTTTATGTTAGGCCCTATGATGTATTTTCCTAAAAAAACCCTATTTGGAGGGCAAGTGAGAGGAGTTGAGATAGGAAAAGAGATGTGAGGTTCCTCTTGTCAAAATAACACACACAAACTTAGCTTATCTTCAAAAATAAACTTCTATTCTTATTTTAAGAAAAATGAAAAATCATCCATGTTAAAAATACATCTTGAAAAAAAATTTCTTTCTATTTCTGATCACCTTGACTACCCATGAATTGTCATTAGATAGCATGGAAATTCAGACTGACATGGTTTCATTTCCTCCTCTGTGCAAGCACAAGTGGTAAGGAGACCTCTTCAAACAAAAAGTTGTCACCTTATTATGGACAACACATACCCAGGCTTGTGTGCAGAGGATGAATTAATTTAGTTTTCTGTGAATTAGTGCATTTCCAGGAGGGCTGATACCAAAAGTACCAGTTTTGAAACAACAAACTGAATTATCTGGAAGTTAGGGTATTCTTTGGCAAATCAGTCTTCCCAATTTAACTAACATTTTCATCATTTTCCATGATGAATAGCATTTAAAGATGGAATTCTTGAACATTGTATTCTTAGGTAAAATTAGATTGTATTCTTAAGTAAAATCAGATTTGCTGCAATATCCTGATTCCTGTGAGGTGTGACTCCTCATAACTGAGCAGCATCCCCAGACAAACACCATCATCTGTGTAACAGTGGCACAGAAGGTGCCTGGTGTCAATGATTAATCTGCAAATGCATGCCTGAATGAGGTCTTAATGTGGTCTTTTCAATATGTCAATAATTTCATAAAAACAGCAGCAGGATATTAATATATACACTAACAAATCTCTTCCTCATAGTAGAATTATTTATATGTTTTTCATGTCTACATGGAGTATCAGACATTCATAACACTTAAAATATATTAGTCAGGGGGTTGCTGCTCACCTTTGAACTGCAGATAAGTTAAAAAAAATCACCTTTTAATGAGCTCAATAAGTTGGAATATTTTGGTGAAAAGTTAGAATCCAAGGTGGATTAACAAGAAAAATATTAAATAATATTGATCTGCTGCAGATTTCTAAAGCTTGTACAACCTAAACAGATTGCTCTTCTGCCATTAATGGTTAAAATGGTTGATAGGCAGGAGTGTAAGAAGGAGTAAGAAGTAATTAGACAAGGGTGCTGTGATGACTTTAGAGTATTAATCATGATATTCCTGTCTACTGAACTCATAAAGCAGATTCTCTTGCACGGAAGTCTGTTCATTGAAATTCATTCACTTTAAAGAAAAGAATGCTGAGTTATTTTAAATATACCAAAAATATATCATAAATGTGTAATATTTTACTAGGTATGTTATGTTTGGCTTAATTACAGCTAAAAATAGATGTTCAGTAACTTCACTTTTCTTGAGCAACATCAATAAACAAAGGAAGGCAAATGTGTAACACAATGACAGTTCATACTTCCAGTAGATTTTGAGAGCCTACAAAGTACAAAAAATTAATACTACCAATTTTCATGATTAGAAGTGAATTATATGTTTCTGTCATGACACTCACCCATACAGTAATGGGTAATATTGTATTGCAAATTTACTGTTTATTTCTAAAAAAGTCTTAGTACTGCCTGCCCTTTTAAGAAACAAAAGAACTCAATTTTGACAGTTCCGCTATTTAGCTTTTAAAAGACAATATTTCAAGCAGCTATGTTTTCTCTTCTCAAATTACTGCACTCCTAGGATTCACTAAATATAAATGAATATTTAGACTAAAAACAAATTTGGTGCAAGAAGAGTTTGCAGCTGCTGGCTCCAGAAGCACTCTGTGCGCATCTGTCACTACAGCTACCACCTGAACTTCAAGAACATAAATTCTGATTGATGCAAAGAAAAAATAAGTTAAAAAAATTGCCTGTGTAAATTGACTGAACTTCCACGGTCCAGCAGCCATGTACTCAATTTATTAGGTAGAAGATTCCTTGGGCTTTTTTTCTGTTGGAGTACATTATATGTCAAAATGATGCAGTGTAACTTGACATTAAGTGGGGTTCATTCTGAGAACAGATGTCTTATTCTGTTAGTGTCTTTCTGAGAAAAGGCAGACTTAACCAGCTCCTTTTAGGGCTAAAGAAGAAAAAAAAAACCCAACCCTGATTCACCAAGAAAGGATATTCCATCTTTTTCTGTTGTCCTGTAACTATCTGAATTTGGGTCAAGTGGAATCTTTGTCCTCACCACTGTCACACAGTGCAGATCAATAAACAAAATATGGTCACAGACTTTGGATTACCTTTATTCCGGCACTGCTCAATGGTTTTCTTTGTAAATTCATGCACTTTCTTGTATTTTTGCATAAAACTCTCTATAAATTGACTGGCTTGAACAGGAGTAATTCCCAGGCAGTCAGCGAGACGTTCTTTACCTGGTGGTACAGAAATTATTTCTGTATGCAAAAAAGCAGAACAGAAAACCACTACATACAATAGCACTGGTTTCATGCACAATTAGTGGAATTAATTAACTTTACTTACCTCTATGAAAGAGGATGGATCTGATACACTAAAATCATATTGCAGCAAAATAAATGTTTAACCCTGAGCTTGAATGTTTTACTAAAGTCACTGGATTAAGCATATAATTAGTAAGAAATATATAGGAAGTATGTAATTAAGAAATTACTAGTTAAAATTTATACCTAAAAAAGTGGGTGAAATCACTTTTGTTCACAGAGCAATGCTGTAGCTTTAAGTATCATTTTACTAGATCACTGTTGCAATCTCCAAACTTAGAAGAGCAGATAAAGATTTAAAACTAACTTCTAACAAACACAAATATAATGAAGATCTAAAATTGTTGGAGATGTTTAAATTTAGCTAGAAGCTTTAGAATTCAGGCTGAATTTAGAAAGGATGTTTGGAGGCTGGGTCCCACAGATTGCAAAGAGTCCTAGGGACCTCAATGTCAGTAGAAATTTGGGTCCAAATTTTGAGATAAAAGGGTTGGAAAAAGAAAAAAATGGGAAAAGAAAAAACAGAAAAGGTGTTCCAACAGAGGGAGAAAGGAATAATAGCTTTTGGACAGGATATAGGTGCACAATATCTGTTACGCTGGATCTAAGAGCATTTAAAAGAAGATGTGGAAAAAACCTGAAGATATTCCAGAGTGTTAAAATATAAACTAAGAGCTACTGTTTAAACCCACTTATAAATCAAACAGCTCCAGTAAAAATAAAACATACATCAACATTAGTCATATGAAGTTTGAAAGACAGATATATTTGTGTCAGCTGCACAGGAACACAGAACCAGCACTGTCTGCAAAGAACATAAGCTGAGAGCAGACATCTCAAAGAACCAAAGGCATGGAATAGTCATTGTCACAGTAAGACTGTCAAGAAAAATTGTCTGGCACTTTAAAAAGAGGGAGGATTGCAGCCATCTACATGCCATCACTGTCAGGCTGATGTGCATTTCAGAACAATTCTTGTAGCATTTTGTTCTCAGTCACGCCAGGATCTGCACTGAGCTGCAAGAACACCAGTCTGGACAAGGTGCTAGAGGAAGAAATTCACACAGACATCCAGGATGACATTTGCTGAGCTATTATAGATCTGTACTCTCTTTTTTTTGACATCTAATTAATTTGGGTTTTCTTCCTGGGTCAGCAAATGACAAATCTATTTGATAAAGCACACATTGCTAGCAGCTAAGAGACTACTGTAGCTTCCTTAGAGATCTGTAACATCTAAGTTTGTCCATGTTATCCATTTAAAGAACTATTAATATACAGAACAATAGCATAAAATACTAGGAAAATTAAAGCACAATATTAGCAAGGATATCTGGAAGGTCCCAGGGAAATGCAGTTCCCAGGAAGCAAAAAGAGGGGAATGAGCAGCCACGTAATTGTGTCAGATCATGCTCCACAGTGCAGGAGCGCAGGCCATGCAAGGCAAAGTCCAGGATGGACTAAAACTTCTCTGAGCACTCTTCTGGAATTATCTGTGCCAGGGTAATTAGCAGCAGCAGCCTGTGAGTTTCAACGTTCTCCATTCTGCAATATAATCTTTCAAAAATGAAAAAAGCATTCATTTTCATTTAAACACTGTGGTAGCCCTCAGTGTTAGTCCAGGGCTTGAACATCCTGCCATTGAATAGAAGGAATTCCTTATTTTACAGATGTTTAAGTTGCTTGCATTTTAGCTCTACAAGATGACTAAGGCAGAAGCAGGTGAATTGAACAGCTCCAAACCAACCAAAAATACTTAAAGAATGTCTAGAGGTGGAAGGGACCAGCAAGGATCAATTCCTGGGCCTGCACAGGACACCCCAACAGTCACACCATGTGCCTGAGAGTATTGTCCAAATGCTTCTTGAACTCTAGTTCAGACTTAGGGCTGTGACCACTGCCCTGGGGAGCCTGTTCCAGGGCCCAACCACCCCTCTGGGTGAAAGCTTTTTCCTAATTACCAATCTTCTTTTTCCTTTATTATCCTTCAGAGTTAAAGACCTTGAAAGCATGAACCAAGTGCAACCTAAGAAAACAGAACATGCAACCTAAGAAAAAAAAAAAGAAAATGAAAAGCTTACTATTTACTACATGAAAGGTTTTTATTAGCTCCTGTAAGCATAATACAGGCAAGCTCCTCAGGGAGTGTTTTTGTAGTTTTCAATCCTAAAAGAAATATTATTCACACTCTTCAGTTGTATTAAAAATGTCTCATTTATGAAAAGTGAGCTGTCTTTTGAAGGAAGAAAAACTGTGGGTGGAATTCAGACCATCAATTTCAGGTATCTAACAATTACTTTTTGTCAGCCCAGTTTCCATCTAAGTGGTTTAATGATATCATTTCATGTCTTAATTAGGATCTGATCACACTTCTAATGAACTGGAAACTTCTTATTATCTTTGAGGTGCTTCAACTGCCCTTGTTTGAGAGAGAGGGACACAAGGCAAACAAGTAAATGGAGACACTTATATCAAGCACTGCTGCACTGAAATCTTTAGTGCCTGGTTCAAAGCAAGTGAGGGAGTGCCAATACTGTGCTTAAATGTAAACATTAAAGTTCTCTATAGATTAGTAGACAGACACAGGCTCTACTGAGCCCTAGGAATTGAGGCATTTCTGACTATATACAGAACTACAGGGCATTCAGCGGGTGGTGATTCTTCTGATTACATCTGGTATCTGCCTGTTCCACCCACGGTGAAGGGAAGAGATAGGAAATGTGTACCATTTGCATGGACCAAGGGGCAGGGGTCATAATGCTGGCATTTTGTAAAGTAACCCAGTGATGAAACCATTCAGGTGGGAAATGAAAGATTTGATTCCAGTCTCAGCACAGAGCGGTCTAAATTTACAGTGCAGGGTATGAGTGCTGGGCTTCTTTAATATAGATTTTAAACACAGAGGTTTCAAATGCAATACAGCTTAATGGAAAAATGCAGGTGTGTATGCATACACACACCCCCCCACACACACCCCTAAACAAAAAGAAGATATTCAGGAGAGCTGAATTTGATGCATTTATTCCCAACTGAATGCTATAAATGATAAATGGAATACCCTGGCTGATTCTGCCTTTGGTTCAAGGACTCAGTGCAAAAGATGCTTTAGAAAGCATTCACAACCAGGAACTCAAGATGTAACATTAAGTGTTTCCAAGTTACATAAAGTTTGCAGCCCAGGGCTCTGATTTCCTAAATTACTTTTCAAGAACTCACCCTCTGTAAAGAAAGTTAGTCAGGTGCTCACTGAAGCCAATTCACAAGAGCTTCTAGGCTGATGACATACCTGCATTTATCTCCCTAGAAAAGGTAACTCTAGGCATGTACAAAGGATAAGGAGTGTGAGGCATCATTTAGAAATAGCAGGTAGTTTTGGAAAGTGTGAAGAACATCTTGACTTATCTAGGACTTGGTCAAGACTTAGGCAGAATGGGTAACAGTGGATTTTTGCATGATTTCTGCAGTTGTGAAGAAATGGCAGCAAACATTAAGACTCAAAGTAAAGGAACACTTTTACACTGTGAGGGTGAGCAAGCACTGGCACAGGTTGCCCAGGGAGGCTGTGGAGCCTTGAAGAGCCCTTTCTCCAGCCCTGAAGACACTGAAAATCTGGACACAGGCCTGGTCAACCAGCCCTGCTTGAATAGGGGGCTGGATCTGATGCCCTCCAGAGGTCCCTTCCAATCTCTGCCATTCTCTGATTCTATAAATGTGATTTCAAACAATAATGGAGTTTTAAAAATTTCATTGCAGTTATTCTCATCTCTGTCTATATACTAAGAGAATTAGTTAATTCTAGTTAATTAGTTAATTAAAAAGTCCACTCAAAATTAGATATATGCCTTAGTTATATCAGCAGTAAATAAATACAAAATCAGGCAATCTTTGTTTATGGCAATGTAACTACATTAAATTCATAATTTTTATACTGAGTAGATAATTTGATAATACTGGATAAAAATATAAATGCAATACTCTGATAAACTTTTACTCACCTTTATAAATTCAGTCTACTTATATAAATGATGAATAAAGTATAAATTTACAGTGGCTGGGTTTTTTCTAAAAATGCCTACCTGCTCCATAAACCACAGAGTAAACTATTCGTTTTGCTTGCTCTCTATCAGCATGTTTCACTTGCTCAATTGGAATCCCCTTCCTAAACAAACAAACAAAAATCACACATTTTCAGTTAAAACTAAGTTGTTATCCCCACTGAAAACTTATTTAAAGTCAATAATCATTCAATAACTACAAAATTGTAAGATGTGAATAGATGTACTTGAGGGCTTTTGTTGTCAGCCAGGAATGCACAACTTCTTTACAAATTTTCATGCTGATAGTCCATAGTAAATTAAACAATTTATTTTAATTTTAATCTTCTTCTTTCCATTTCAATTAAATTCTTGGTTAGGAAAAATCCTACTACTATATTACTAGCTTTTCAGATTGAAGAGGATTTAATAGTGGCTCATGAGAAAAATTAATTTCCAGCAGCAGCATTTCTTCAAGATGTGAGGGTCTAGAGACTCAAAGCAGAAGTCTGACCTAAAGCTTGTTTAAATAAGACTATTTTCAAGGCTTCACTAACAGAAATATCAAACCTTTTCTCAAGAAATAACTGATTGAACAGGCAATGCTTGCTCCATATGCTTTACAGAGCTCCACAATAGCAAGGCTCCATAAAACAGCAGCAGTGGCTGATTCTGAACTCAAGAGTGCATCCAGATTACTCCCAGCCAAGTGTCCTCCTTCCCAGCTCCCATTCTCTCCCAACTGATATAAAAGAGTCCTACAAAAATGCTAATGGACTTAGCAATGTGAAAAATGAAAAGCTATGACTCTGCAATCATCGAGTATGCGCCATCTATAGTTTTCCTTATCAAAATGCTTCAGAAAGAATACTGAAATTATTAACAACTGGAAGCACTGAAGAATATTGACCATTTGGTTTAAATGGAATGGTGTTGGGGGAAATCATACGCTCACTCTCTGAAAACAAATACTTACAAAAATTGTATTTGAAACATGGAGATTAATTGCTATCAGAGATACTTGATGACATCTGCACCATTTGAGAAAAAGTCTCCTCAGGAGACTATTTTTTTCATGAGTCTGGTCACATTTTTAAAACCAAAGTTTTCTATGGTTTGCTATGAAAGCTTTTTTGTCATGAAAGATGCTTTGCTGTGAAGGTTTTAGCAGAGGAACTTTGAGAAAATGGTGTATTTCTCTGAATCTTCTTCAAGGAAAGTCTTTCACCACTATTAAGATATTCAAATTTCTAGAAAATCAGCAGAACCACAAATTTTTGCTTGCATACCTCATACACTGATTTTAGCCAAGCCTATGCTCAGTGCTGGTATAATGAGGCATTCTGAATGACAAACAGGCAGACACTGGATGAAATCAGATTTAAGCAAGTGTTCATAGCAGTACAGATTTTTGAAGAGAAAAAATAAAACTAAATACAATTTCCAGCCTTCATTGGACAAAAAGTCTTTGGTTTTGCAAAAGCTCACATTGTTCTGTTGACTACTACTAATTGCTTAAAGATGAAACAAAACTTTTCACTGCTCAGTTTAGTTGAGAAACAAGAGTAATTTAATAGTGTTTCCACCTGTAATGAAGACTGTTCCCACTTAATCATTCTGCTAGTTTGAGACTCTTACAATTTACTTTCTTAGCTGTGGCAGGTCAAAAGTTCATGGATCTTTTTGAATACAATAGGTTGAGATTCCCAGTTGTACCTGAATACAAAGACAAAGTGGCAATAACAGCTAATAAGTGCAGAATTAGGAAACTAGACATCATTAAGGATTTCCTGAAACAATCTCCAGCAGAAAGACTCCAGGAATTTCCTGAAGAACCTGGCAGAGAACTACACAGACACTTGAGAAAGCATTGATCCCAAGGGAAAATAGAATCTGGTAAGAGCAAATATCACCTGACATGCAACACTAAGACTGGGGAATGCTGAAACTGGGGAAAGCCTAAAAATGTAATACTGCTTTCCTAAAACTGCATAATTTGAACTAGGTTGGATTGGACCAGGCAAGAAATGGGAGAACAGGAGCAGAATTTACTTGGAGATTTACTGAAGTCAGAGGCTAGAGAAAACTGAGAGGCAGTGGGAACATCAGCTGCTCACTTCTCTGGAAAAGAAGGGCTACAACAGAAAGGACACAGTGGGTAAGAACTGTGGAGACTTGTAGGGGAATAAAGATATTCATCAGACCATGATGCTGAGGGAGACACAAGGTGAGACTTGCTGGGAGGGACTGGTGGCTCTAGAGAAGTTTTAGCAGTGAAAGACACCAGAACTGGATTTGTGCACAATTAGAACTGCTGCTAGAACTTTGATTATGATTTTGCATTATCCAAGCTTCAGCTTGGAAGGCTGACTGGAAAAAACAGAAATAGTCTCATTGCTGTGATGATGATTGGCAGTGTCAGCAATCACAGTGAAACCTTGCCTAACACAGTTATTGGTGCAGATGTACATGTATCATGTAATCATGGCAATCCAACAGTCACTTAGCAATTCCTGGTCTGTGATTAGACATGAAACACATGGAAAAAAAAAAATTTCAGAGCCTTATTTTAAATATTTCCTTCAATATAATGTTACAACCAAAATGGTCAGTCAACACCTCCAAGCATGCCAGTGGGAAATGTGAGCATTGGACAGAGAGGCATTACATGTATTACTCTGAGTATTTGCAAATTTATGTACCACATGAAAGAATACATAATTATAAGGTATGAAATTGCCATATAAATCAAAACTGCTTGAGCAAACAGAAGTCATTAATCATAACTATTCTTTTTTTCCTAATAAATGCTTTTTTTCTCTTTGTATTGACAATTATTGGCTTCTCCTAGAGTGTTTGATTCCTTCTGTAATTCAGAGAGGCATTCCTGCAGTTTGAGGTGAATGCTGTTTATTCCTTTGAACAATAAAATTAAAGGGGAGGTGTGCAGCTTCTCAGAACTGCAGCAGCCATGTTAGAAATCCCCAGTGGGCTTTCTGCTTTATCCTGTTTCCTTTACAAACTAATTTAGGTTTGTGATAATTGATTTGTTTTAATGGGTACTGTGAGAACCTATTTAATGATAAAATCTTTTTTTTTGCCTTTGGACTCATCATGAAACACCCAAAATATTGATAAAAAGACATTGTGATCTGCATACTTGCATAAGAAGTTTTTAGCAAGCCATCCAGGGCATGAAAATATTCAGTGCTGAAGTGTGGTATATGTAACATAGATCTTTAGTGGAAATGCATTTTTTAAAATAGATTTGAATCTGAAAAAGGAAGGTGAATAGGCATAAAATAGTCTTAGCTGCTGGACAGTGACACTGAGGCTGTGACTCCAGCCCAGCCAGCACTGTCTGTACAGCTGGAGTAAGAAGAAGACTGTTAATGCAATGTTATAGAAATTGATACAGAAAAAGCTTAGGAGGAAAAAGAATTTGCTGCAGATTTTGTTGTGGAAACAGCAAAATTCCTGAAGGCCTGCAGGAAATAAATATGCAGTTACTAGTTCTAGTATGAAACGTTTTTCCATTTTTCCACATCCTTCTCATTAGTCTCTCTCAAGTATGCTGGGAAAAGTTCAAGTTCATAATCAGTATTTTCACCATCTTCAAATCTCCAAATGTGCAGTATTTCACCTTCTGCATTCCTGTCCTTGCCTGCATACTTGTCTCAGCTATTTCCATATCTCTGATTTGCTTGTCCTTTACTTTGTTTAGCACTGATTTCTAAGTACTTTGCCTTATAGTACTTTATTTGATAGAGATCTCTTAGGCAGAAAAAAGAACAGCTCTCAGTGCTGGAAGACATGTTCAGGTTGGCAAATCTCAGCATCCTAGGAAAGAGTTAGCAGAGCTAAACAATCTGGGAAGGTTTGTAAGAGCAGCAAACAACTTGCAGACAAAAATTGTAGTATATCTAACAAACACAGTGAGAGTAGAGATACACAAAGTCTTTAAAAAGGTGGCTCTAGTAAGAATTGTACTGTTTGTCTAAAAGGGAATAGCTGCCTAATTCTGAGAGTAAAAAACATGGAGAAAAAAATTTCTAGCAAACAATAAAGAAGGATAACATGAAATTATGATTAAGAAACAAAGTGAAGATACAAAACAAAAGGAGGTATATATCACTTATTACTTTTTCAGAGAAAATACTTTGAATATTAACATAATTTCTCCAAAATTCACTATACATTTTCATTTATTAATGGGGTCTAATGGACATCTCAAAGAGTTTCTACCGCATTCAGTCTTAAGTCACTAATACATATGAACACCAAGTTTCTTTATACCCCAAAAAAATACAGCAATCATATCTGTAATTTTAACAAAGTTTAACTGTAAACTGAAATAGCACATTTAATACAGAGTAGACATCTTAATGGATTAATTTTTTACCTGTACAGAATATTAAAAAACTAACATAAATTTTAGTATACAGAAATGAACTCACACAACATAAACACATTAAAAAACCCATTAAGATTAAAGAGGCCACAGGGCATAACATATGAGCAATGGCAAAATAAAACCTTGAGAACAGGTAGAAATGGGAGGAAATCAGTCTTAAAAGAATGCGATAAGACATTCCAGAATTTCTGGGAAACGCTGTGTGGGGACGGAAGGTAACTGTTTATGGGCAGGAAAAGGCAGAACAAACTCCTCAAACACAATATCTGGCAGGCATGTGCTGCCTTGATCTGCATTACACTCCAGCCAAGCTATGCTCACTCATAATAGCCACAAACCCTTGGCTGCTCTCTTGCATCTGCCAATTCATCCAAGTCCAAGCTGTGAATTGTTGGTGTGGGAAATGAGATGGAGTGGCATTAAATTCATTTTATATGTGGTCATTAATGTCCAATGAATGAGTCAATGTATGAGTGAGTACACATTTGTTCATCTGATGGCTCTTACAGCTTTTTATATTTTCATCAGTGAACTATATAAATCTCATTTTCCATCACCTGTTGCTGTTTAATAGAGATGAGAGTGTTATATTCGGTAAGTTTGTGCCTGGAACTTTGTGTTGGGATATGAAACAGGTATGGACATTTTACGTAATCAGTAAAATTAGAAAAGCCCAGTTTTACAGCAGCATCACCATTGGGTGGATCATGT